GCCATAATGTGACACAATGTAGATAGTATATGCCATAGCATGACACAATGTAGATAGTATATACCATAATATGACACAATGTAAATAGTATATGCCATAATGTGACACAATGTAGATAGTATATACCATAATATGACACAACATAGATAGTATATGCCATAATGTGACACAATGTAGACTATTATAGGTATAATGTAATAACTATCTAAAAGTAACATATGTTTTGTTCTTCTCTATTTCACAGACGAACTAGAGAAATATTGGAATGACCTGAAATACACTGAACATATTACCCAATCGCAGCCTGATCCGCCGCCCAGAAAGCTGCCAAATGGTGCTACAATAGACGCCTTGATGGGCCGCCGTAAACAAGACACATTGAAGGAAAAAGAGAAGATGCTAGCTCTTTTGGAAGGAACACGTATTTTAAAACAACAAAAGAGAAAGGCGAAAAAAGATTTCTTTAGCACGATTGGATCTGACTCCTCTGCATTTTCTAGAGTCGACAAAGACGAGTTCGGTATACAGAGCAAGAGCCCCCAACGGCACAATGGGAATAACAACGTCGAACGTACCATCAAATCTGACACGTGGCCAAGACAGGGGCCAATCACTGACTGGGGCACCGTGGATAACTATCTTACAAGTACGCAGGAGACATTAGACGAAATGGATAAATTTGATAGACCCGAAAATGGCAGTGACCATCGCTTGAATGCAAGAGAGTCACAGCCTTGTCTGTTTGAGAGAAAGAAAACGTACAATTCCACCACGGACTGTCCCTCGCATGTTTGGGAATCTAACCATAGAGTGCCAATAGTTGCGAAAATATTAAACGAGAGACGGAAATATCAACCGACCCATAGTGGTGCAGTCCGTGGAAACGGCGAACTCGTCGAGGTAACGCCATATACTGACAGTGTAAAATTAAGCTCAAAATCCAGCGGTTTTTATGAATCCAACGGAACGCCTACAGATGCTACGAATTCACCTCCAAATTCCGTATTCACTCCGCAATCGGATGACGGATACTTCACTTTCCCCACCACAACGCCAAATACGGCGGAGACGTCTGAAAATATAAATAGACTGCCCGTCATTGAGCATGATGACGAGACGGCCTCTTACTACACTGCCAGTGGCTCAACAAAATCAAGTACCTCTCCGAACTCACTAACTAGGCTCGGGCACGATAAAATAGATGCCCCGCAATTGAGTGAATCTAGCACCAGTTGGAACACAACTCTCGAAGATATGCATTGGGAAGATTTTCAGAATATGAGTCTGAGAGAGTTTCAACTGAATCGTGGTGTCCTCGGAAGCTCTAAAACTCCCAGCTCGACAAACAACGAGTCAGTCGCTTCACGCTCCGAACCCGCATACACAGATAGTACACCGAATGGAGACGTATTCGAATGGCAAAACTTTGATAATTCAACCCCGACGTATTACACCCCCAAAGGCATTCGCCACTTCACGCCAATAAAGCCGAGTAGCAGCGCAGAATCTTCTTGCAAATTCGGCGTCATCGACGAGGAACCTAGCGATTACGTCACAGCCAATAACTGTCCTGATTTAGAAGACGATTTGACAGCAGTGACGTACTTTCCAACAGAAATGGAACCAATTTTTGATTTTCCAATAGCGTCTAGCTCTCCAATGGGGCACTCAACAAATACTCATAACACACCAGAGCCATTTCGTTTAGAAACGTATCCCGAACCGCATTTGGCAAGTAGAAAGTCGGGTAATTCTCGCGAGAAACCCTCAGAAAAACAGCGAGATCGCAAGAAACAGAAAGATAAACCTAACTTTGATAAAATCGACGACATGGAACCGATTGACGATTATCAGGACACCGATGGCGTTGACGTAGACAAACCAAGACGCAAGAGATACACGAAGAGAAGCCCATCTAAGAAGTTACCAAATAGAAAAGGTAAATTACCAAACAGATCAAACTTATTCTGGAGAACCGGCAAGGAGATAGTAATTGACCACGACCCCGCCGATAAGCCTGCGTATACACCCGTAGGCTCCAACGCAGTTCCTAAAAACAAGTTGTTAGCGAATAATCGCGAAAAGCAGCCTAACAGTTCTGCAAATTCAACACCAGAGACGAATCGATGCATAATGTGCCCCTTACCTACCTTCAGAAAGTCGCACGTTAAACCCACAGAGTTCAAAGACTACCGCCCACCACCATCACCATGGGAACTGAGAACAAATGACAATTCCGAGGAGGAAATAGGGAATATATTAAGTGATGACAAAAACACGAAAGCCGACAATAAGACTCGACGCACGCCGTCTGTGGCGGAGTCGGCTAATTCGGAAGAGGTTCAACAGTTCATGAAAACATTTCCCCGATTTCATAGATCCAGTAAAGGTAGTTCCACTCATCACCTTGACGACGAGAGAGGACACTCCCCCTGGGAATTAAGGAACGACGAAAACATAAGTTTAAGCTCTGCTGCTCACTTAGTAGCTCGGAGTGGGTCTGTGAAAAACGGAAGTATTACCCCCTCATTCGGTGAAAGTGTATTTGAATCGCCATGGATCACGAGGAATGATCTCGAGGCGCAGAAAGATCGCCTGCGAGAAAATGCTGAAATGCTCATAGATGATTTACGCATGCGCGGCTTGGCGGACATAAAATCGGACAAAATGGACCAAGATGCGTGTTTTCTAATGGTTATTGGAGAAACAGTTAGACATTTGTTAGAGGAAAACAACCAAGACACAAAAAATATTTATGCTTTGAAACATGTAGACGACAACACGTGCGAAGTTAATTTACATAAAAAAGACAAAAACTCAAAACCAGGTAAAGTTATCCCTCGTCGCAAACCGTCTTCAGACGAAGAACTGAATGCGAATATAAAGCACACCTTATATGGAAATTACACTCTGAATTTTCAGTTGAAGAAAAATAAGAAACCTCGCAGAAAACAGCCCAGCAGTGCCAAACGTGACCCGAAGTTAAAATATTTGAATCCTGTACGCCCAAGAACGTATTCGCGTGACTCACCGCCTTAGCAGTCAGGGGGTAAGGTCACCGCCATAAAACCACGGCTTTGTACACCGTCTAAAATTAAAAATTAGTATTTCATGCTACCGTGTATTGTCATAATTATGGGTTTTTTTTGAAGATGTAATTAAATGTCAGGACTTGTAATTACATTGACAGAAGATTGTAGTCTGTGACTGTACTTCATTACTGTCTACCAAAACAAATTGTGTGTATAGCCATAGAGAGAGAGAGATCAATTCATTTGATGCGCCAGAATCAAAATGTAATTTGGTGTTGTTGAACGCAATGCATTATTTACACTAAACGGTGCTGTGAGGGCGCTCTAACGAAGATTCGGTGCTCGATCTACAGGGACGGAATAAAACAAAGTGAAAGAGCGGTGGTTCTCGCAACGCGTCAGATGATTCATCTCCACTGTGGGTCCCATGGCGACGTATACAAAGCGAGCAAAATGCATTTGTTTGCACGAAATTCTGACACGCACTGCGCCACGACCACCACCCTTGAAAAGTAAGTTTCCAACGTCAGTCATGGTGTAACCTTGTCTTTTAATAGACAACGTGATATAAATACAACATTAGAATAAATAATGGATGTTTTGTATTTAATTATCATATATGTAAATAAGACATATATGTAGGTATTCATTTACACTAGGTCATATTTATTTAATTAAATTTCGGAATGTTGATAAACTTCATTAAAAGTTGCTCCTGAGATATATCATGCAAATATCGCAGACGACATGCTTCCATCCGGGTTCTCAGTGGTATCTCTGACGTCATTAATTATGCTGCTGATATATACATGTGAATATATGTGCGCAACTTTTGATTATTTAGACACAATTTTGAGTACTACCTCAAGATGAATGTCACAATTACAGATATTGGCTTATGTATATTTTATTCATTCAGATATTAAAGCAATTATTTATATAAAAATATTAGCAAATTATACACATGTGTCATTTATTCACAAATGTTTGTGTCCACTTCCACCTGGCCGTTTTCTCCTTTTATCCTAGACATAGTTTTAGATCCCTGTTGAATACATAGATGGAGTAACGTATATCGTAAATGGCCGCCGAAATCTCGTAGAGAGCGAGAGTCACGCGACTTGTTTCCCCCCTCAAATAGTGATCCATTTCCTTCCGTTCCAATGGCTACATAGGTCATGGTAGACGCGATGTAGCGGAAAAATAGAACACTATTTGAGGAACAAAAACAAGTCTCGTAACTCCCGCTATCGACGAGAACTTGACGGCCATGTGTTCGTCTAAGGATGCATTGTTCAATATCTTTAACCATGGCTTAGATGTAACACACGTTAGAACAACAACATGTCATTTTTTTCTTCAACGCAATCTTACATAGTTATATAAAGTATATGTCAGTGACCCTAAAATATCAGATTTATTAAACGACTGTAGTACTATATTTTCGTGCGTGTTTTCGATTTGATATCCCATTACCCATCAAATCTGTTTCCAGCTTTTAAAAACCGTTCTTTTCCCCATGGGTATCTATTATAATGTATTGTTCTGCGTAACACGTGCTTTGTTTCTCAATAGAGCGTTTCTGTCTCATTTGCATAAACGACAGTCGCTCCATGAACACCCAATACCATTTGTTTACCCTCCGATTGAAGAATATTTAGGAGCCATCGATATATTTATTTGAGGATTGCTTGGTCACGTGATTACTCATTTTGGAGTGAATTCAATACATCCGAGATCAAGCCATAGATCACAAAGTCTTTAGTGAAACACACTTACAAAATTGAGATTGGAAGATATAGAAATGTTGCTCACTTATATGCAACTGTAAAAAAAATTTGTATATGACATATGAAACTATTGAAATATTTCAATTAATAGAATTTCTAACAAACCATGAAGAGAATACTGTGTAAAACTACAAATATATTTTGAGATTGTCGACCAGGTCAAAAGCCCAATCGGATTTGAATAGACCAATCGAGTATAAGGTGAAATGTACTATTCTCTACAATAGATTCACATTCGATTAATGTAAATACAGATCAACACGTACCGCGCACAACCTCAGTACAGTGACCTTAGACGAGAACGGCCGGCGAGATCTCGTTGACAGCGAGAGAATCACGAGACTTGTTTTTGCTCCCAAAATAGTATTTCATTCATTGCTGTCATCGCGTACACTGTTCCAAATACCATGGGTACGTCTGTCGGGGGAACATTGGTCGAGAATTGAACACTGTTCCAGGGTCAGAAGAAGTCTCGTCGCTCGCGCGCATTCCACGAGATCTTAGCGGCCATTTGCGACTCGGTCGATTAACATTGTACGTTACTATCTACTAACAATTAACATTCACAAACAGTTACATTTTTCGACCATTGCGATTTGCCGAGTACAATCATTGAAAACAGGAAAAGATGATGACCAGTAATTTTTTTACTTTAAAAAAGAAAACAATATCACTCTGAATAAATTAACAAATATTCCTGTGAATTATTAACCACGAATATCATACTTCCAATTCATCTTATTGTGTTTCTACTATATTTGCGGAATCTTCTGAACTCCCTCGCCAGAATATATTGTAAAGTTTCAAGTTTTGAAGTCTACTTGATCTGTAAAAACATCACAAGAATTAGCACAGATATACCCACATCACCGTGACAACGAAATTTACAAACAGTTAAATGTAGATAAGACACTATGATACAGACTTTCCGTTTTCGACATTGTAAAAATTTTTCGTTTTGAGGGGAAAAAAACCTGAAAAAATGATTTTGATAAAATATAAATCAGAAATTTATATTAAGAATAATTCATAACGAAATTTATCCCTATGCACCAATAAATTATTTTTATAATTACTGGTTACACAAGAATATTACAGAAAAACGATAATTTACTATAATTTCTATATTTTGGCCTTTTATTTGTCTTGAATTATGACCATGACTGAAAGAAGCTGATTGAAATTACAAACTATGTAGAGTGTTCAACAACTAGTGTACTTAATAATAAATATTATTTTATATTGTACTTGGTATAAAAAACAAAACAAAAACGAACAAATTTCATAATGTCGAAAACGAAAAGTCTTTCTCGCAGTGTTACAAGGAGTTTTATTTCATGCAAGAATGTTATCTACATTACTCAAATGTGTTCATTTCCGTAAAGAATGTAGTATGACAAATTAATATGTTAATAACGCATTCCCTATAGAGGTTCACATAAAGGTAAAGCAGTATTTCCTTTACTCAAAAAAATAGAATTCAACTTACATGTCAATCCTGTCTCGGTTTCTATACCAAATAATGGCAACCACAGTGATGACAGCAATACACACAACACCGACAACAACTCCTACTACGATTGCTGCTGTTTCTACAAAGAAAGAAGCAATTTTATAATCAGCGCTAGTAAAAATAGAACAAAAACGGAATACTGACAGGGAGAACAGTCTGATTTCATATTATGCAAAATATTCTATGACGAAATTAATTACATTATCTAGTAGAATACATTAAAGAATATACCGTTTTTCCGTTCACTGCGAGATCCCGCGTAATGCGTGAAATCGAACGTGAAAACAGGACAAAGTTCGTATTGACGTCAAAACATCGCGTGAGATTCGACAAAGGTGAGTATTTCCGCGCTTAATAATTTGCTATACACATTAAGGATGATCATTTTTGATGAAGTAAGGATATCTTAACACAATATTCTTCTCTTAAAGATTGGCATTTCGACATAGAGCTATACAATTGAAATTCAGGGCAAAATCAAATCGTTCGGTCCACGCATTTTTCGCAATGTACGAGATCTCGCAATGAACGGGAACTCATTTATTCATAATAAAATCAATTCAGTTTGGACTACTCACTGGAAGAGGATTTAGATTTGTCAGAAATTGATGCTTCAGGAGGAATTACTTCAGCACAGTACCGTCTCGCTGTTAATATGTCGTCTATCGCAATATAGCCGTCATCTCCCGCTCCACGGACCACTTCAATGACGTGCTGTGGTTTGAATAACGAACACGATAGTATGTAACCACAAAAGTACAGTAACGATATTTGATGATGTATTTTCCAAAATGTCCTAACTCCGTCGTTAATGTTTAAATTTCACTCATCGAGGCAAAAAAAAACAACATTATTTTGTGCCTGTATAACCAATTACGAATTCGAGAAGCATTGTCTATATCTATCTAGCTTGTCCGTAGCACCATGGATGAAGGTCAAGTATACGAGGGGAAAATGTCTACCCTCGTTGTTGTTCAAAACAAAATTCATCATATTTATATTTTAAAGTCTTATTAATCACTGTAAGATTGTAAGTATATTTTTCAAGATATATGTTAGTTTTGGCTAAAATACAACGTTTGTTAGGCATAGAAATAAGTAGCAGAATGAAGACGATTTACGTGCTAATAATGAGAACAAGACGTGCCAATTAGATAACCGTAGTAAACCGATATGTACGTTGTTTTCAATGTGTAGCAAATAAAAAAAGTCCAAGTACAGTGGCTAGCTAAAACGTGGCTAGTATTTTCACGCCAAATTTTGCTTAGGTACATTGCTGTACCATATTTATTTTATACATTTTATTTGCTATGGTTTTGCTTGCTGTCCTAAGAAACAAATTAAAAAAAATGATACGATGATGCGGTTCATTTTTTTTATCAACGATTGTTTATTATCACAACAACAAGGTAACTTGAAGTGTTCAACATTTAACGATTAAAGATATAGGTATAATTTATAGGTAAGGCTTTTGAATACATGTATTTTTGGTTTGATCAAATTATTCCTGTACATTTTGTGTCATGACTGTTTCTATCTGTATTTCCTACGCACATGTTTCACAGCGGGCGCATGAGCGAAAGTCGTAATGGTAACTTGCAACTTCCCTGGGAATGTCCTTAACAATGTTCCAATAAACCAAATATCCACAGAGGGGTGAAGCGACCACAAATAAGAATCGCACGGATAATTCACATCTACTAC